AAATGTGTTAGCCTTGATTCTGTTCTGTATTTGTGTTTGTGTGCGTGTATGTATGTTTATATATGCGTGTGTGTGCAAGTGAGCTTAGCGGGATGGGAGGTTGAGTGCGGTAAGAGGGGGACAAATCGGTCTTTTAAACTTTGACCCCTTCAAGCATCAGTGCATTCTTTCATTCCTTTCACGCTCATTCATAAAGGGTACGCCCAGTTTGATAAGGCCACAGTCAAGGCTGAAAAAATCAAAAGTTGTCTGGTTTTTTAAGTTTTTGTGAGTTAATATTTGTGAGAATAAAAAGTATCGTATTTTCGATCATGCCGTGCTCGAAATTGAGACAGATCTTGTAAAAAAAAAATTTTTTTTATACCAATTTCTTCCATTACACTTGTTCGGCCTTTCACTGTCAGTTAACTAATTATTCGTTGCAGTAATGAACTTTTGGTGGATAGCTGTAGACCATAAATTTGAAATTTACAGAATTGAAACAAAAATGATTTTTCTGTTGAGTGTAAGGTAGAATAATGGGAATTTTTTTCAGATAACGGACGCAATAAGAATTGAAAAACGAATAAATCTGCGCTTACGTGAACTGCTAAATTTGACAACAGCAACGGAATCGTGGGATGGCTCGGTAGTGGATTTAGCTGCCACACTGGCTATTCAGTTTTCCTACTACTTCGCTCCACCTTCCGAACGAATGCAGAATTTAAAAAGATGCTATTCAACATTATGCCGAATAATGGACGCTCATCCACAGAAACAGTGCACTGTTCGTTTGATTTTCTTCCTTTTTTTTTGTGTGTAAAGTACTTGTCTTTATGCAGAACCGAGGACATATATTTGGAATACTAGTACATACATAGTTCTTGTTTTGAGTTGTCTTTGGGAGATTTTCCAACTCGAACAGGCTGAAACGGGACGCTCTAGAGCGGTATATTTATGCTAAGACTGCTCGGGCTGCCCTCTATTAGTGGTTTTACTCGGATGTCCCTGCACATCAAGCGAAGCTGTAGGGACATCCAAGTAACATCATTCGTTTAGTAACTTCCCGCAATTCTCTGTAAGTATCCCATCCCTTCGGAGCAGGTCGTTTAATTTTTCGCGGGTATGGTTGCGCAGCGTGCACTGATTTTGCGAACATTGGTTTGCTATTGCAAAGGCACGCAGTGCAGCGTTTATCTCTTGCAACTCGCATTTTTATAATTGGTATACTGGGACTACTGCTATTTCATGACCTGCTTGTCCATCTCCACAGTTTGCAGTTTTTTAGTTGCTTAATAATAAACCCTCTGGCAATCCTAATGTTCATTACGTGTGAAAGTCTTTTCGACAAATGTTCCTCCCAGTAGTATTATAAATAACGGGAATGCTATAAAATGAAGGTGTGAATGATCAAAAATCTCGAATAATTTTAGAAAAAGTATTTGGAACTACTGCAAATGCACCTGAAGAACAATCCTTGTGATCCGGCACGAGCGCTCATTGAAGCATCGGCGGTGGCGCATCAAAAGTGTCCTACTGACATCTCAATTTTGAAGACCTATATAGATGCGAATGCATTTGGAACACGTGTCGTTCACCTGCGAAAACTGCTTCAAAGTAACGTTAAAGGTTAGCTCCATTTTTCAGTAGTTTAACACTGTGGCAGGGAAATTTGCGCGAGTTTTCGCTAATTTTTTCCAGTGTAATATGCAGTGTTTTTATGCGTTTTGCATTGTGTAACAGCGGCACAAAACTCATATTGTTACCGAGTTGCATGTGTGTGTGCGCTTGTCCGCATCTTTCCTGCCCATGTCTGACCCCGCAAGTTTAAACTCAGCCTTTCTGTGCTCGTTGGCAGTATGGCCCCATGAAAGTTTTGGCAGGGAAAATTATTATCTCG